GCTCGTGTGCAATAATAGTCTGAACAAAAATTTTTAATTTAAATAGATTAGACCTATTAATTCAACCTTAAAATTGAAAGGGTCTAAAATTTATTTTTTCAAATAAAGAAAAAAAAAACTAACTGTAAAATTAAAGATATTAAAAAATCTAGTTTTAATCCTCAAAAAAGTTAAATTTAAATTTACCATCATAATTTTTTAATTATTATTTCTTTCTCTTACCATTAACTTCAAATATGGTAACAAAAACTTTAATATAAAAATTTAGTTAATTTTTTTGTATTTAAAAAAATTAAAAATTAAATTTATTATTAATATTAAAAATAAAAAAAACTTCATTATTTCCGCTTTAAATTCCAAAATATCTTGGGTCACCCCTATTTATATAGTCTCCAAATAGTTTTATAAATTTGAATTGTTTTGCCTNTTTTTTTTTTGTTTTTGTTTTTATGATAATAATAAACTAACTTAACAAATTATGTTCCAAGCAACCTTACTTGTTCATAAATGGTGAATGGGGGGAATAGAGTTGGTGGTAGAGTTACCAAAATTGTAATTGCGAGGGCTGAAACCTATGATTAGTCTTAATCAATAATCAACCATTTCCCAAATGGCTTGATGTTGATTTAATAAGCTGTGGTTGCATGATCAATTCCTACGGCTTAGATCCAATTGACAAAAACCCTAGTTTGTGCACAGCCACAGCACCAAAACATTNAAAGAAATGGTCCACAAAAACAGCGTTGTCGCAATCATACGACACTTTTTGTTGGCATGTTATGTACTTTAGGCAAGGCAATACCATGGCCTAAGCTAATGGCTGTAATGCATTTGTTTGATACGGTGAGGTCAACCAAACACAACCCGATGTATATCACTTTGATTCAATCTCTCACTTCTTTCCACTAATCATGTTTTAGAATAAAACTAATAAGACAAAATGTCAAGACAAAAATAAGAAACCTTAGATTTTGGAGATTGAGTAATCCGTCATTGGAAATTCAATTGGGCGAATTTATGCGACATGTGTGAAATCAAGATTACCGAAAACAATAATAATTATGACAACTTTTAGCTACGATGTTTGAAACTATCTACAAACCCATTCCTGAAAGTTCTTATCACAAACCCAACCCCCAAGATCATGTGAATTAGAGCACTGGACCATGATAATGCAACAGGAAAGACACTCTAGGGGGCATTTTGTCTCCAGAAAAGCATTATTGTTGTTCATTGTGTGGGAGTTGTTCATGTGTTATTTTCGCTCGTTTATATGTCACTTCTGTACATGTTTGTCATGTGTGGATCAAAATAATGGCACGATAAACACTGACCAAAATAATAAGATTTTATTAGTATAGTATGCAATCTCCATCACTGTATGCATATGCAAATATTGGTATGCACTGTGATAGTGGATTCATCCCTCAAGGCAGCCTTTCGGGGACAGGCTTGAGAGATTTATGAATATCCTTTCCTTTGACCAGTACAGGGAGAGAGATTAATTGAGGGAGGGGCTCGTAAATTAGTTTAGATATTCCGAACCATTAAACCAAAAAAAAAAAAAGAAAAAAAAAGGGTGTATTCCACCTCAGTCATCCTCTATTCTAGTTGAAATTGGTTGAACTCTAAGCCTAATATGATTTTCCAATTGGGAAGATTGAGTTCAAATTCAAGCATACCGATAGAACTCAAAATTGCCCGACGAAGCAGTTCAGCAGTGCACATAAATCGCTTCAAAACCCGCATCAAATGGGTGGGAGGGAGATACACTTTGATGGCGTCGAGTTGTCTTTTCCTTTACCAAGTACTTAAGATATTGAGTAAAATGACGGGCCAATATGCTTTAATGCATAAACACAGAGAAGACATCTATGACACCTTCATCTTGTTGCTTTGTTCTATGAGGTTAAATTTGGTCTCTATGTCCCTCAATTAGAACACTTGCATGTTATAGCATATTTCACCATCTATTTGAATCTAATTAGTCTTAGTCTACCCACCCTCCCTCTCTCTCTCTCTCTCTCTCTCTCTCTCTCTCCTCATCACAGCGCACCACCATCACCCCACCCCAGGCCAACTTCAGCCTCCCCTTTTACCACACATTTCCACCACTCAAACTCAAACACCATCTTCACCCATCTATTTTCACTCTCTCTCTATGGTGCTCAGCAGACCACAATCACCCACCACCCGTGCAACCTTTAACCTCTTCTACCACCACGTATCCTCCAATCAACAGCATCCCCACTAGATTCTAACTTCAATTGGGTGTTTTTGATCCCATTTTTTATTTTGATTTTTAATTTCAATTGAGTGATGTTGTCGGTGATTGGGGTGCGATTAAGCAGAGGGGACGGTGGTGGTTAGGGGTGTTGATCCACTTGAGAGTAGCAATGATTAGTGATTACCTATTTGCACACTTGTCCATATGAGAATCTCGGGGTTTTTTTTTTGTTTTTGTTTTTATGATAATAATAAACTAACTTAACAAATTATGTTCCAAGCAACCTTACTTGTTCATAAATGGTGAATGGGGGGAATAGAGTTGGTGGTAGAGTTACCAAAATTGTAATTGCGAGGGCTGAAACCTATGATTAGTCTTAATCAATAATCAACCATTTCCCAAATGGCTTGATGTTGATTTAATAAGCTGTGGTTGCATGATCAATTCCTACGGCTTAGATCCAATTGACAAAAACCCTAGTTTGTGCACAGCCACAGCACCAAAACATTCCTCTCTATTACCATACTAATTCGGTCCAATCCAAAAACTAATTTCAATGGCGCCCTTTTCATTCGAAGGACCTTTTTGGCGGGTGAAATGTTGGATCATAAACATTTGGATCCGCGGGTATGCTTGTCACTTTACATTCCCCCCGCCTAGGGTTCTCTTCTTTCTCTCACCGTTTCTCTCTCTCTCCGCGCCCCTGCATGGCGGTTTCGTTTGTCTTAGCAAAATTCGTGTGTAGTTCATTACCTCCATACCCCTCTCTCTCTCTCTCTTCTTCTTCTGACATATATTTATAGCTGAAGAGTCTGATTCATTTCTAATTAGGGAAGCTCGTAGTCTAGTCTCTCTAAGTGTGGTCTGTGGGTTTGATTTGCTATTATTGTTCTGGGGGCTCCGTTGTTTTTGCTAGAAAATAACATCTCTCTCCTTCTTCTTCTTTGAGTGGTGTTGTGATCTNTTCCTGAAAGTTCTTATCACAAACCCAACCCCCAAGATCATGTGAATTAGAGCACTGGACCATGATAATGCAACAGGAAAGACACTCTAGGGGGCATTTTGTCTCCAGAAAAGCATTATTGTTGTTCATTGTGTGGGAGTTGTTCATGTGTTATTTTCGCTCGTTTATATGTCACTTCTGTACATGTTTGTCATGTGTGGATCNTTAGTCAGTTGGTTCGTCATTCGGGGCTCGTTGCAGATCCTTAAATAGGTGGTAAAAATTGTGGATCTGAGGGACAAAGTAAGTGATCATGAGCTTCCCCTTTTGCATCATATTCGCTAATCATCCTGAAAATACCTGTATTTTGGTACATGGGGGTGTGTGTGTGTATCCAGTCCAGCTACCCTGCGATCAGGTTTTGATTTGCTTTAATTTGNGGATTTATGAATATCCTTTCCTTTGACTAGTACAGGGAGAGAGATTAATTGAGGGAGGGGCTCGTAAATTAGTTTAGATATTCCGAACCATTAAACCAAAAATAAAAAATAAAAAAAAGGGTGTATTCCACCTCAGTCATCCTCTATTCTAGTTGAAATTGGTTGAACTCTAAGCCTAAAATGATTTGCCAATTGGGAAGATTGAGTTCAAATTCAAGCATACCGATAGAACTCAAAATTGCCCGACGAAGCAGTTCAGCAAGTGCACATAAATCGCTTCAAAACCCGCATCAAATGGGTGGGAGGGAGATGCACTTTGATGGCGTCGAGTTGTCTTTTCCTTTACCAAGTACTTAAGATATTGAGTAAAATGACGGGCCAATATGCTTTAATGCATAAACACAGAGAAGACATCTATGACACCTTCATCTTGTTGCTTTGTTCTATGAGGTTAAATTTGGTCTCTATGTCCCTCAATTAGAACACTTGCATGTTATAGCATATTTCACCATCTATTTGAATCTAATTAGTCTTAGTCTACCCACCCTCCCTCTCTCTCTCTCTCTCTCTCTCTCTCTCTCTCCTCATCACAGCGCACCACCATCACCCCACCCCAGGCCAACTTCAGCCTCCCCTTTTACCACACATTTCCACCACTCAAACTCAAACACCATCTTCACCCATCTATTTTCACTCTCTCTCTATGGTGCTCAGCAGACCACAATCACCCACCACCCGTGCAACCTTTAACCTCTTCTACCACCACGTATCCTCCAATCAACAGCATCCCCACTAGATTCTAACTTCAATTGGGTGTTTTTGATCCCATTTTTTATTTTGATTTTTAATTTCAATTGAGTGATGTTGTCGGTGATTGGGGTGCGATTAAGCAGAGGGGACGGTGGTGGTTAGGGGTGTTGATCCACTTGAGAGTAGCAATGATTAGTGATTACCTATTTGCACACTTGTCCATATGAGAATCTCGGGGTTTTTTTTTTGTTTTTGTTTTTATGATAATAATAAACTAACTTAACAAATTATGTTCCAAGCAACCTTACTTGTTCATAAATGGTGAATGGGGGGAATAGAGTTGGTGGTAGAGTTACCAAAATTGTAATTGCGAGGGCTGAAACCTATGATTAGTCTTAATCAATAATCAACCATTTCCCAAATGGCTTGATGTTGATTTAATAAGCTGTGGTTGCATGATCAATTCCTACGGCTTAGATCCAATTGACAAAAACCCTAGTTTGTGCACAGCCACAGCACCAAAACATTCCTCTCTATTACCATACTAATTCGGTCCAATCCAAAAACTAATTTCAATGGCGCCCTTTTCATTCGAAGGACCTTTTTGGCGGGTGAAATGTTGGATCATAAACATTTGGATCCGCGGGTATGCTTGTCACTTTACATTCCCCCCGCCTAGGGTTCTCTTCTTTCTCTCACCGTTTCTCTCTCTCTCCGCGCCCCTGCATGGCGGTTTCGTTTGTCTTAGCAAAATTCGTGTGTAGTTCATTACCTCCATACCCCTCTCTCTCTCTCTCTTCTTCTTCTGACATATATTTATAGCTGAAGAGTCTGATTCATTTCTAATTAGGGAAGCTCGTAGTCTAGTCTCTCTAAGTGTGGTCTGTGGGTTTGATTTGCTATTATTGTTCTGGGGGCTCCGTTGTTTTTGCTAGAAAATAACATCTCTCTCCTTCTTCTTCTTTGAGTGGTGTTGTGATCTCTGTAGTTCTGTCCTGATCAAAGTGTTTATAATCATATGTGTGTTTCAATTCCTCGTTTATTAGTCAGTTGGTTCGTCATTCGGGGCTCGTTGCAGATCCTTAAATAGGTGGTAAAAATTGTGGATCTGAGGGACAAAGTAAGTGATCATGAGCTTCCCCTTTTGCATCATATTCGCTAATCATCCTGAAAATACCTGTATTTTGGTACATGGGGGTGTGTGTGTGTATCCAGTCCAGCTACCCTGCGATCAGGTTTTGATTTGCTTTAATTTGATGTTCTGGTGCAGGGATCATCAGAATCGGAAGACATGAATACCCACACCCCAGATAGGGTTTCATCAGATGGAAATCAGTTCAAGACCTGCGCTGAATGCGGTACCAGCAAAACCCCTCTTTGGAGAGGTGGCCCAGCTGGCCCCAAGGTCTGATTCATATTCAACATGTGTGTGTATGAGAGAGAGAGAGAGAGAGAGAGAGAGAGAGAGAGAGAGAGAGAGTTTTGATTTATGGGTTACTTATATGAATGGGGTTTTGTTTTGCGTTGTGATTATCTAATCTGTTTTTGTGTGTGCAGTCACTATGCAATGCATGTGGGATCAAAAGCAGGAAGAAGAGAAGAGTGATTCTGAGTGTTAACAAAGAGGACAAGAAGCCCAAGAAGACAAGTAGCACCAACACCCAACATCAGAAACAGAATCAAAATCATCTTAGTTCAGGAGGCGGTAGAGGCAACAAATTGGGCGAATCCGTGAAAAGAAAATTGTTTTCGCTGGGAAGAGAGGTGGTATTGCAGAGACCCAGACCCAAATCAAGATCAACATCAACAGCAATGGCAAAACAGAGAAGGAAGTTGGGAGAGGAAGAACAAGCAGCCTTTCTATTGATGGCTCTTTCATGTGGCTATGTTTTTGCTTATTTTTAGTGTTAGTAGTAGTTTTTGACATTAGAAAATGGACAAGTTTGGGAGCTAGTTTGTTGTACCCTTCTTCTCTCGAAGTGAAATTTGTTTAATTTATTCGAAATTCTCTGTTTTGTTGAAATGGTGGTCATTCATAGCCTATTAAGTGCTGCAATGATAAGTAAAGTTGGTTTGATGGTTGGTAATAAAGCATAGAAATAAATGACTAGGGCTCATGCGATGCACGGGTATTTATTTATTTTTATTTTATTACTTGAAAAGTTAAATAAATAATTCTATTTAAGTTTTTGGGTGATAAAAATTAATTTTAAAAAAAATAATATTTAGTTATTGAAGAGTTAGTGAATAGTTAGTAATAACACATGTTAGCATCTGAATAGAGGGAGTTTTAAGTTTTGAATTAAAAAAATTTAAATTCTAAAAAAAAAAAGTGAAAAGAAAAGCTTTTCAAATTACTTCTCATCTAATTCGATTATTTTATATGTATAGATAGATTACTAAGTAATTTTTATTTTAAACTATTGTTAACATGTAATAATAAAAATTTATTTGTATCATTATAGAATGTTTAATTCTTTTTGATTGTAAAATTTATTATTTATTAATACTAATTGTTATAGACGTGTGTTATACGTGGACCAAATTGGTAAAACTGTTGAACATGTTACTATATTCATTTCAATCAAACTGCACAATTCCCACAAAAAGGTATCACAAACAAAAGGCATCTACTGTGAAAACTAAAACATGAATGCTCCAATCAATAGGTCCCAAGTTATTTTGGCAAGGCTGTGCGGGGACAAGGCCCCCGGACCCCCCAACTAACCCCCTATTCACCACTTGACGAGTAAGCTTTGTAAGCCAGCTCTTCATTAGTTGGCCTGCTCTCTTGAAAAATAAATGTCAAGTACTATCCTTCTCCCCAAAGAAAAAATTTTGTCCTTAGCCCTATAGAGTGAGGGGCATTGGGCTTTTGTGGAGTTTAATTTTTTGTGTTGATCCGAATAATGATCCGATCTAAAATAATATTGTGTGATTTTTTAATAAAATTTTTTCTGATGTTTAATCCATAGAACAAAGACTTGGGCCGATTGCCCAGTGCAAGACATATAAAATCTGTTGTAGCCCGGTAATTAGTGCCAAAATTTTTGGCCTGCTTTATAGCCTGGTGCAGGACATATAAAACCTGTTGTTTTGAGTGATTAGAGTTTTATTGATTATGTACGACTGTTTTGTATTTCTTCTTGATAATAATGAAATTCCTGCAATTTTGTGGACGTAGTCAAATTGTCGAACCACGTTAATGTTATCTTGTGTGTGTGATTGTTTTTCTTTCGCGTGTGTTTTCTCTATTTTTATTTCTCACGAGTTTGGGAATTTCGTGTGAATTTCCTAACAAGGGGATGGATAGAGACTTATCTCTTTTTTTACATACATATTTTTCCTCTTTTCCATAAAACTTCATTTCCTAAATCTTAACTCTTCTCGTTCTTATTTATTATTACTGCTATCCCTTTCTAAACCGGACTGTCATAATAAAACTTTAACGTATCAGGGTCGTACGCCTAGAACAAGCCGTATAATTTTAGCAATTACAAAGCCATGAATATGACCATAAAGGGCCATCACAAGAATATAAGACCCCTTGGGTTGAATTGAAATGGATACTTCTTTTTACCTAACCCTAGCATAGTATTTCATTGGGAAAACAGGCTGCCTTCTCGGAAGTAATTCAGTGGCGGAATGTTTTTGCAAAAACTATGAAATCAAAACTTATCCTCTCTTGGCAATAGCCTCTCACTTGCTTAAATGCTTAAGAACAGGAGAAAAGTAGTGAGGCGGACACCAAATGTAAAAGCAAAAACAGAAAATCTTTTTGAAGAGCACAGATACAAAGTTAACATAGAGTGAAAGAATGAGAGGATCATTTTATGTCTTCCTTCCTATTGGTAGAATTGATGATGGACCTTTTTCCATTCATTATTTACAACCTTAAAAAATATTTGATTGAAATTCCGGGAAGAACTTTGTAGGAACACAGAATCTTTTGTCTTGCACGGTTTTCAAACATGCAGAAACAAATCTATATTTAAGATTTATATGACATGTTACAGCCAACAAGCGCAAGCTTTAGAGTACCTTAAATCAAAATATTTGAAGTTTCACGATAAGCGAAGACAACCGGTAAATTTCAATATACACATGAAGTGAGAAGAACATATGTAGTCAAATTTGACCAAGTTTTGGCACTAATTACCTACATTTTAGTTTTTTACTACCAAAAATTCGACCACATGATCTAATTCGATAATCTAATTATGATATAATCTTATATAGCATGAGACAATTTAATAATCTACATACAACCCAAAAAAATTCAAAAACGAAGCTTGCTAACACAAAATTCAAACCACCTAATGAAACATTGAAACCGAAAATCAAAGAAAGACCCTAACAACACCTCAGCGGTCGTCCGTCGGACAGGAAATGAGTAGCTTGAGGGATTTACCATGGGAGAGAGAGAGAGAGAGAGTGGCATGTTGGGCACTAACGAAGTTTCGCCATCATTAGAGCTGGGAGTGACAGAGGGAAAGATGTCTACCATCATCATTACATCGTTAAATTCTTAAATAAAATCTCCAAGCATTTCCTTTAAAATAATATAGATGAGGTGGTAAGGCAAGAGGTTTGGCTCATTTTTTTTTACCTTATTTACAGATGCAAGGTTTAAATATCACCAACTCCCTCTTCTATATGTACTGTGACCCAAAAAATGTGAAGTGGTATTTTTTTGGGTAAAATATATTTTTTTTTGTCCCTAAATTATGTTATTTGTGTTAGTTTAGTCCTCAATATTTGATTTGTGTTAATTTGGTCTCTTAACTTTTTAATCTATCACTTTTGTCTAATTGAAAACGATAATTTGAATTAACTAACAGAGATATTCATGTGATCACACTTTTTTTTTAACTCACCACTATACTAAAACGGCGCATGACTACATTTGAGAGGTCACTTTGGTCCCTCGAATCAATTTGGTCTTTCAAGTTTACAGTTTGTGTTATTTTAATCTAAAGTTTGTAAAGAATACGTCTCAACATGTCAATCTCTGTTAATAAATTACAACTATTGTTTTCTATTGGACTTGAGTGACACAAATTGCAAAGTTGATGGACTAAATTGACATATTTAATAGATTGAGAACCAAATTTACACAAAATACATAATTGATGGACCAAAATGTATTTTATCCTTTTCATTTTATTTTATTTCCATGTAGTGATTTTGATAATCATGAACACGAGACACACAGCACATATTATGAGCAATTTCCTCGCATCCTTAATAAAATTTCATTGAAATTGATTGAAAAACAAGACATAAATTGTCAAGAATTTACAGATTACTCTTCAGAGAGAGAGAGAGAGAGAGAGCTTTTACTTTAGTCATCATCAACCTTAATTTCTCCTGCCAGAAAGAAACTCTCTTTTTTTTATCTGTGCTTAATGAAATACACAATCATTTCTCTTATTTTGGTCATAAAAACCCTCTCTTTGTCTCACATCTGCGAGCTCCTAAATCTGTGAATCTGACACTTTATTATCCAATGCAATTGCCTTAACCATGCTTCAGAGCAAAAATACGAAGAAAATGACAAGCAGAGTGATCAAGTAAGTCGTAGAACTAGACAATGGCCGAGACCCAGACAGAGGTGGTGGTGGGCTGTAATAGTAAAATGGGAAGTACGGCACAATTGGGTTCGGAGGAGGTGGGGCTGGTCCTGTTGGATAGCTTTTGTACGGCGCCGGAGGGGGGTAATAGCTACTGCTTCCAATAATACCACCCGGTGGAGGCGGCGATGAGTATGGATACGTAGATGGTGGAGGTGGAGGACAATTGGAGGAGGAAGATGTTGGTGGCGGTGCTAAAAAGGGAGGTGGCGGCGGCGATGGTGTTTGGTTGCATGGGTTGTCACAGGCACCACACATTGTACAGTCGATCTCGTACTTTGATCCAACCCATGCATTATTTGCTACAACAAATGCCACATTTCTTAATGACACAAGCATCACAGTAATAAAAAAAAGTTTCAATTCTTGGGTTCCCTCCATTTCTGTTTTCTTCACGAAGAAGAGCGAAAGAGAGAGAGAGAGAGAGAGAGTAGACGGAGGACCAGTAGTGGTTTCTTTGATTTCCATATTTATAAGGACGGGGGAGGGGGTTTAGAATCATAATGAAGAAGAAAAAGATTAAACAGATAGTAGTTTTAATTTCAAAAAAGAGACCACCGACACGTTTTGCTTTAAACAGCAACGCGCATTGGAGGGCTTTTTTGACATTATTGTTGTAGTTTAAGTCTATTACAGGCATCTAAGATTCTGAAAATATATCTGAATTAACTAAGTCGCCCCTACACATGGTGACTCGTTACTTACCTAGGGTCAGATGAGCCGGATTTGTATTGAATTTTAGTTAGTTCGTCAAAATATACTCTACTCATATTATGATTCATCTAATATTGAATTCGTGTCATATATAATTGGTATATAAATAAATTATTATAAATTTTTTTTAATTAATTTTATTTATACTCANTATTGAATTCGTGTCATATATAATCGGTATATAAATAAATTATTATAAATTTTTTTAATTAATTTTATTTATATTCAATTCGTTTATTAATCGTGTCATATTAAATTCACTCATTTATTAAATAAATAATTTAAAAAAGACTCAAATTTTTTAATTTTGTATCGTATTCATGTTGAGTTAATGAATCATGTCATATTTTGACAACCAAAATTGAAATAAAGACAACACAAAAAGAAGGAAATACTCGCAATCGTTCGATGGGTTATTCTATGTTGATACTCTTTTAATTTTTCAATGCTTCGTGAACTTTTTGACTTAGTTATCCAACCTTTAGGTGATTTTTTTTTTTTGATATAGTAGGAGAGGCACATCTAGAGAGCTAGGAAAGTAACCTTTATATGGTTAGGTGGGAATATAACATCTTGTGTTGCTACTAAAACGGTTTACTCAAAAGCATTGTGAATAAAAGAGAGATTAGACTCTCCCCTATTGCCAAGAACGGACTAATAGGGTCAGCTACCAGCTAACCT